CCCCCATTCCATCCCCCTAATCCCACCCCATCACTCCCCACCCCAAAACCCCTGTCAAACCCCCACATTTTCCCCCCATATCCCTCCCCTCCCTCTCTCCGCCCCCTGTTTCCCCATCCCCACTGGGATAGCTCCCGAGGGATTTCCTGGGATGGGGCTGACGGGGGGCTGCTGGGAATGTCCCCCCAGCCCAGCTCCAGGTGACCTAGAGCTGTCCTGGACTATCCCAATCCCATGGGGATCACAAAATGCTCGCGGTAGGAACCGTAAAACACATCCCAAGGTGTTGGATTCCCGTGTTTGGCGCTGGATTCCAGCCTGTCCTTCTCCCAGATCCATAATTCCCACCCCAGGGGGGAACACGCCTTCCTGGGACAGTGACAACCATGGCCTCATGTCCTGGGAGCTCCTTTGGGCTGGGAAAGGCTTCCCCTGTTGGGAAGGGAGGTGTGATCCGTGAGGGAGAATTAGATCCCTGAGGGAAGATATGATCCCTGAGGGAGGATAAGATCCTTGAGGGAGGATTAGATTCTTCAGGAGGGTGTGATCCCTGAGGGAGGATTAGATCCCTGAGGAAAGATATGATCCCTGAGGGTGAATTAGATTCCTGAGGGAAGATGTGATCCTTGAGGGAAAATTAGATCTCAGATAGATCTCTGAGGAAAGATTGGATCCCAGAGGGAAGATGTAATCCCTGAGGGAGGATTTGATCCCTGAGGGAAGATGCGATCTGTGAGGAAAGGTGTGATCCCTGAGGAGCGTGAGATCCCTGAGGGAAGATTAGATCCCTGAGGAGAGTATGATCCTTGAGGGAGAATTAGATTCCTGAGGGAAGGTGTGATCCCTGAGGGAGGATTAGATCCCTGAGGGAAGATGTGATCCCTGAGGGAAGATGTGATCCTTGATGGAGAATTAGATCTCAGATAGATCCGTGAGAAAAGCTGTGATCCCTGAGGGAAGGTGTGATCCTTAATGCAGAATTAGATTCCTGAGGGAAGGTGTGATCCCTGAGGAAAGATTAGATTACTGAGGGAAGATGTGATCCCTGAGGGAAGATGTGATCCTTGAGGGAGAATTAGATCTCAGATCCCTGAGGAACATGTGATCCCTGAGGGAAGATGTGACCTTTGAGGGAGGGTTTGATCCCTGAGGAACATGTGATCCCTGAGGGAGGATTAGATCCCTGAGGAGGGTGTGATCCTTGAGGGAGAATTAGATCTCAGCTAGATCCCTGAGGGAGGATTTGATCCCTGAGGAAGGATTAGATCCTTCAGGAGGGTGTGACCTTTGAGGGAGAACTAGATCCCTGAGGGAAGGTGTGATCCCTGAGGGAGGATTAGATCCCTGATTGAAGGTGTGATCTTTGAGGGAGAATTAGATCCCTGAGGGAGAATTAGATCCCTGAGGGAGGATTGGATCCCTGAGGGGGGATTAGATCCCTGAGGGAAGGTGTGATCCCTGAGGGAGGATTAGATCCCTGAAGAGGGTGTGATCCCTGAGGGAGGGTTGGATCCTTCAGGAGGGTGTGATCTCTGAGGGAAGCTGTGATTCCTGATCCCGTGGCAGGAGCCGGTGACCTTCAAGGACGTGACGGTGTTCCTGAGCCGGGCCGAGTGGGACGCGCTCACGGCGGGGCAGCGGGAGCTGTACCGGGACGTCGTGTCCGACACCTACGAGCTGCTGACCTCTCTGGGTAATCCTGAGAATCGCCCTGGCCAGGGCTTCCCTCAGATCCCACCCCAGCAGCTTCCAGAGCACGGAATCCCACACTCCCAGAGTGGCTGAGGTTGGAAAAGGCCTTGGAGATGCCCAAGTCCAACTGTTCCCCAGCACTGCCCAGGCCACCACTAATCCATGTCTCCAAGTGTCTCATCCACACTGCTTTCCAATCCCTCCCGGGCTGGACAACCCTTCCCGTGAGGAGTTTTCCCTTCTAGGGGCTGATCAGGGAATTTAGTGCTGGAAAAGGCATGATTTGGGTCTGGGTTTGAGCAGCACTGGAAATGATTCTCTAAGATCAGGGAGCATGGTAGGATATCCCACCCCTTGGATGAGCAGGAGACATCCTTGGGAAAGCCTGTCAGTGGAACTGGGGAGCTGTGGACCTTGCCACACTTCCATCAGGGCTCTCAGGAATAAATCCCTCTCTGGAAGCAGCTGCGGTTTCTCCCTCATTTTTCCCACATCCCAGAGGTGTTTCCATGCATGGTGAGGCACAGCTGGGATGTCCCAGTCCTTGATTTTCCTGGAATCATGGACAGTCCAATGCCCTCTGTCCCATTCCCAGGTTATCCAGGCCCCAAGCCCGACATCCTGCACCGGCTGGAGCGTGGGGAAGAGCCGTGGATCTGCTCATCTCCAGGTGAGCAGCAACATCCTGACCCTGAGGGATGGAATCTGCATCCAGGATGGGGTCAGGGCTTCCTGCTCCATCCCCGTGGCTGTGGAGAAGTCAGGACTCCTGGTGGGGACAAGGACAGGGCTCTTCCTTCTTTCTCATGGCCATGGAGAGTCAGGATTTCCAGCCTGGCTGGTGACATCTGCTGTTTTCCCTGCAGGACATGCCAAGAGCTGGCTGGAGGAGCCTTCCTCTGGCTGGTGGCCCAGAGCCAGCAGGGACCAGGGGCTGGAGCCCTCGTGTCCAGGTGAGTCCTGCTCCAGCCCCATCCCTGGGCCACTCCCAGGGCTTCTCCCACTGCAGGGCTCCCCTGACGTCTGGCAGAGGTTGGGATGTGGAGCCCAGGTAGCCCTGGAGTAGGAAGAAGGGATGTTCTTCTCCCTGCTCCAGCCAGGAAGTATCCAACCCCTTCCCACCTCTCTCCCAGCAGGACCAGGCACGTTTTGGTGTCTCCAGGACAGGAGCTTCCAGAAGAAGGTTGGCTGTCACGAGGAAAGGAGCGAATTCCCGTTGGAAGCAGACAGTGGAGTGGGGAGCCAAGCCCAGCCATGGCTTGTGAAGGAGGAAGTGGAGGACAAACCTGGACTCATGGAAGACCTAACCCACAGTGAGACATTCCTGCCTCATTCCACAGTGGAAGAGCAGAGCCTGGATCCTTGGGAACAGCTGCGGGATAGCCCTGGGGAGAGGCATCAAGGGAATGCCCAAAACCATGGACACACCTTGGAAGAGACGACGCTTCTCCCGGGATCCCAGGAGCTGCGGGTGGAGGAGCTGAGAGCGGCGGCGGCGAAGGACCACGGTTACTGCCTGCGGAGCGAGCCGGTCGCGCCCTGCGCCCCGCAGCCCTGCTGCCTGTGGGAACACAACTACTGCCGGCAGCGCCGGGCCGGGAGGAGCCGTGGGGCCAGCGACATCCAGGCCGCGCGCCGCCGGCTGGCGTGGCGGCAGTTCCACTGGGGCAGGAGGGTCCGGAGAGCCAGGGAGATCCTGCGGCGCTACCAGCCCTACTGGAGGCTGGGCTTTCCGTGGAGAGGCCACTCCAGCTGTGGCGATGCCGCGCAGGGGACGAGCCCTGGGGTTTGTCCTCCGATGGAGGTGGCCGCACCGCGCCAGCTCCGGAGCGCCGGGAACGCCGAGGGGGTGACATCAGACACACAGTGTGTTCCAGAGGGGATTTTGGGAAGTGGGGCTTCGCGCCCTCCCCTAATCCTGGCTGCAGGAGTGGAGAAGAGGGAAAAGCCTCTGGAGCATCCAAGTGCCAGCCAGGAACTTGAAGGATGTGCGGAACCCCAGAAATTGCAGGGGGTGTCGCTCCATGACATGTTCCGGAATGTGATGAGGACGATAAGATACATACTGGACTCCATATGCCAGAAGTTTGAGCTCCAGGGGGTCTCCCAGGGGAAGAGCATCTGGCCCATCATCATCCAGATCGACAACTTGGCAGAGATCAGGAAGTGCTGACTCCCAGGAGGAGATTGGAATAGGATTCCCTGAAGCACAACACTTAATCCCCCCCAGTTCCGGGGGGTTTAGGAGGAGAAACGTGACAGAGGTGGATTGAGGGAGGTGAAACTGAGAATGTGGGGCCTGCCCTGAACTGGATTGATTGAGAGGCTTTGGAGAAAAGCAGTGGAAAAAGGGAGGATTTGTGTGGCTCAAAGGAGGAAAGAAGGAAAAGTGAGCATGGTATCCTGAAGTCCTGGAATGGCTTGGCTTGGAAGGGATGTTAAATCCATCTCTAAAAACCAACCAGGGTTCAGGCTGTGCTCCTGTCACTGGAACTACAGGAAAAACAAAAACCCTCCAACAACATTTTTGGTGTTAGAACATCGAGGCATTTCCTTATTTCTGGCTGGGATGTGCAACAGAAATTATTTCACCCACATATGGCCCAACTGTGCAGAGAAAATCATTCCATGACATGCAAAGTTTACTCAATTTTTTCTTAAAACTTTGTGTAGTTCAAAACAGAAATCCATTGGTTAAATGTTCATTGGTGCCAAATTGCAGAGTTCTCAGAATTTGGTTTCTTTATTGCAGCGGGATTTTTTTGCCTCGATGTTTATTAAACCCTCACTAATTTCTTTATCAGCCTTTCCAGCCCCAGAGTTCTGGGGTAGATGTTCCTTGACGTTTGCTGATGTTTGTTATAATTTTGGGTGTTTTTGGGCTATTTCCAGTTTGTTGAGATGTTAAGTTTATCACACCTCACAGAGGAGAACAGTACCCTCAAAAAATACTCTCATTCCTTTCTCCAAGGCAAAGGCAAACTGAGCGTGACTGAGAAATAAAATAAAGGAATTTAAAAAGTTGTATATTTGCCAACTCTCCCAAGGAAAAGGGACAGGATGAGGGGAAACAGCCTTGAGTTGTGCCAGGGAGGGTCAGGTTGGGTTGGGTTGGATATAGGGAAGGACACAGGAAGGTTTGGTTCCAGTCCTGTTGGAAGCATTTTCCTGGGAAATCCAGCCTGGCCTGAATTCCCAGCAGCTTTTGGAACCTCTGGGATCGGATCTTTACAAGGAAAAGGTGATTTCTGGGATGTTCTCCAATGCCCTCCCAGGGCCCAGGTGCTGTTTTGGGGCCAGAAGGAAGCTCCAACAGATCCAAGCAAACCGAGCACCGTGGATCCGTTCACTTTGCCAGTTCTCCATGGAACTGGGGCTGGCCTGGGGAAAATCTGGGATGCCTGAACTGGGGATGCTCCTGCCATGGCTGGTGCTGGTTTTGGCAGCTGGGGGCTGTTGGTTTGGGGCTTTCAGCATTCTCCCCTAGACCCCAAATCCCTCTGAGGGAGCTCGAGGGGCTCATCCTGGAGAAGAGGAGGCTCAGGGGGCACCTTGTGGCTCCTGCAATTCCCGGGAGGAAGGTTGGAGCCAGGAGGAGTTGGGCTCTGCTCCCAGGGAACAGGACAAGAGGGAACGGCCTCAAGGGCAGGTTCAGGTGGGATATTGGGAATGTTCCTCCTGGAAAAGGCTCTCCAGCCCTGGCCCAGCTGCGAGGGCAGGGCTGGAGTCCCCACGGCTGGAGGGATTTCAAAGCCCTGTGGAGGTGGCACTTGGGGCCATGGGGCAGTGCTGGACTTGGACTCAGGCATGTCAGAGGGCTTTGCCCATCTCAGCAATTCCATGACTCCGCAATTCCTGTAAGGACATTCCCGCCTGGCAGTGCTGGCGGGCGGTGAAACGGGACTCTAAAGCCAACAACACCGGTGAAATGTCTCGGGAGCCGTTTTGTCGCGGCTCCAGGCGTGCTTTTAGTGCCGGGGGTTCCCGTGATGCTCCCCCATCCCGGGTACCACTCAGGACCCCGCACAGCACCAAGGCGATGCGGCCGTGCCGCCAGCCAATCGCAGCGCGCGCTGCGGGTCACGTGCCACGCCCCGCCAATCGCGCCGCCCGCCGCGCTGCCCGGATGCTGTGCGGCCTCCCAACATGGCGGCGCCCGATGAGCGCGGGAACGCGCTGCTTCCGGGTCGAGCGCGAGGCGAGGGTGGGGGCGTGGCTTAAAGCGGAAGTGCCGCGCGCGCTGCGCGGCGTGGCCACGCCCCCCAACGCGGTTACCATGGGGACCGGGGGCGGTGCCGTTGCCATGGAAACCAGGGATGGGCCGGGAGCGGGAAACCGGGAACGGCGGGAACGGGAACGGGCAGGGAGCGGGAACTGGCAGGGAACGGGAACTGGCAGGGAACGGGCACAGACCGAACAGGGAATGGGCAGGGAACGGGAACAGGCAGGGACACGGCAGGGAATGGGCAGGGAACGGAAACGGGCAGGGAACGGGCAGAGAACAGGCAGGGACAGGGGAGGGAATGGGCACGGACTGGGCAGGGAATGGGAACGGGCAAGGAACAGGCAGAGACCGGGCACGGACCAGGCAGGGAATGGGCAGGGACACGGAGCCGCTGGAGAGACCCAGAGGAGGCCCCAGAGCTGCTCCAGGGCTGGGAGAGCTGGGAATGTTCACCTGGAGAAGCTCCAGGGAGAGCTCAGAGCCCTGCCAGGGCCTGAAGGGGCTCCAGGAGAGCTGGAGAGGGACTGGGGACAAGGATGGAGGGACAGGACACAGGGAATGGCTCCCAGTGCCAGAGGGCAGGGATGGATGGGATATTGGGAAGGAATTCCTGGCTGGGATGGAGTTCCCAGAGCAGCTGTGACTTCCCTTGGATCCCTGGCCAGGCTGGACTTTGGGGCTTGGATCACCCTGGGACAGTGGGAGGTGTACCTGCCATGGCAGGGGTGCTCTGGAATTGGATTTCTGCTCCGTTCCAACCCGACCCACTCCAGGGTGATTCCGTGATGGACCAGCCGTGCCCTCCCTGCAGCATCCCAGACTTGTTGGTGGGGAAGGACCTTCAAGCCCCCCCAGTCCCAGCCCCACCTCGGGCTGGGAACCTTCCAGTGCCCAGGTGGGAGCAGGGAATGGCTGTGGGAACGGCTCCAAGACAAACCCGCGGCAGTTCCGGAATGAGGAAGGACAGCACAACCCTGGGAAGGGCAAATAAACCCAGAGTCAGATTTATGAGCAAGGAAATTCCCCAGCTCAGGGCTCAGGGTTTGGTTTTTGGGAGGGATTTACTGTCCCTGTCAGAGGCGGGAGATGTTCTACAAATCACAATTTCACGGAGAAAACTCACTAAGTTTTCCCTTTTTTATTCCCAAAATGGCCTCCCAGGATTTTGTGGCTTTTTGGAGCCTGCTCAGGGCTAGCACAGGCACCTAAAAATGAAATTTAAATATTTTACATCTATTTTGAAACTCTTTCTCTTGCTGTTAAATCCTAGGTGGGATACATGGGGAAAATGGGAATAACTGAGGAGGTTGGAAGGAGTTGGGAGGAATTTGGAGGAAATTTGGAAGGAATTGAAGAATTTGGAGGGAATCTGGGGAGGAAAGGGGAAGAATTTGGAAGGAATTACAGAATTTAAAGGGAATTTTTAAGGACTGGGGGACAGTTTGGAAGGAATTGGGAAAGTCTTGAAGGGCAGCAGCGAGAATCAATCCCTGGGGATGTGCTGGATCCCCATCCCTGGAGGTGAGCCTGGATGTGGTGCAGGATAATCCCACCCATCTCCGTGGAAGGTTGGACCCGGCTGCACCCGGAATGTTCCAGGGTCGGGTGGGGTTTGCTGCAGGGCAGTGACAGACACCGTCCCTCCCTGGGGACTTCCAGCTGCCACCCCCACCCCGAGTCTTTGTCCCCTGTGTGATTTATGTGTGATTTGTGAGGATGTTTTCCACTGATCCCAACCTGCCACTTGGCTCCAGGGTGGCCTGAGCTGAGGGTCACCCTCGGGGCAGGATCCTGGGTGTCCTCCTGGAGCTTCCTGCTCCCCTGTTTGCAGAGAGGGACAGGCCATAAATCACCCCCGGGCTGGAAAACCCCGTCAGGCTTCAGAGAATCCAGGGGAAAAGTCCTCAGAGACCAACGAGTCCACCTCGACCACGTCCCCAGGTGCCACATCCACAGGGATTTTAAATTTCCCCACGGCCCTGGGCAGCTGGGCCAACCATTTTTGGGAATGGGATTTTTCCAAAATCCAGCTGAACCTCCCCTGGCACAGCCTGGGGCTGTTTCCCCCTGTCCCCTGGGAGAAGAACCTGACCTGTGGCAGGCACGTTCTTCTCTCACTCAAGATTTTCTTCATAGAAGAGCACAGAGGAAAGAAAGAGAAAACAATTTCTATTTCTGCTCCTTGTTTTTCCCATGTGGAATGTGTCTAAATAATTGTTTACCTGGGGTAATTACTTGATTGGATTCTGGTGAGGATTGTTTGAGCCTGATGGCCAATCCAACCCACCTGGGGCTGGACTCTCAGAGAGGGTCACAAGTTGTGAGTTAGATTTAGTAGTTAGAAAAAATAAGTGTGTAGTTTAGTATCTCCTTTAAATAGTATATCAATGTATTATAGTATAGTTATAATAAAAAATCATTCGACCTTCTAAAGTCAGACATCATTTCTGCCCACCAGTTTCACCTGCATTTACAATACTGACGCTCACCTGGCTCGGACCTTTCATCCCCACCACGGATGGCCAGTGTGGGAAATGGATTTGTAGGGAATTCTCCAGGCCTGACAGGAGGCTCACACAGTGTGTGCATCCCTGTGCAAAACTTGAGATAAGAAATGCTGGCTTAGAAATTCCACGGAACAGGACGCACATTGCTGAGAGGGAAATGGAGGCAGACACAAGTTTTAAAGGATAGATTTGTAAGTAAGACTAAATATTTTTCGAGAAATAGAACTATGAACGATGCATTGTAGTGGGACCCCTGAGGGGTAATTTTAGAGGATTGGCATTAAGACATTTACAGTATGGTGTGGCAAAAGCTGATAAGCCAAGAAACACTTACAATGTGTTGTAATTAGGAAATAATTGGCTTCTGATTGTGATGGCGTGAATTATAACATCTGTATTGTCTCACCCTCCACATGAGACTGAAAATGGAATAAAACTTTTTCAAACACCTCTCAGTTGCCCCATCTCTGGGTCAGAAAGGAGCTTCATCTGACAGGCCACGTCTGTCCCCGCTGTCACCCCTGGTCACACATTCCCCCCCTGGGGACCCCCGTGGCAGGGGGACCCCAAACCCAGCGGCCTCTCCCTGCTGAGCGAGGTGACAGAGCCATCCCCACCGCCCTGGGGACCGCAGGGCTGGGCTGGGCTCCTGGCCAGATTCATCCCCCTGGAACGTCCCCGTGTGCCAGCCCCCGTGTGCCAGCCCCCGTGTGCCAGCCCCCGGTGCGCCCGCGGCGGCTCCCATAAAAGCGCTGCTGGCCCGGTGGGGAGCAGGAGCGGGATCAGGAGCGGGATCCAGGAGTGAGACCCAGGACTGGGATCCAGGACCAGGACCCAGGACCAGGATCCAGGACCAGGACCCAGGAGCGGGACCCAGGAGCGGGACCCAGGAGCGGGATCCAGGACCAGGACCCAGGACCGGGATCCAGGGGTGGGATCAGGAGCAGGACCCAGGAGTGGGATCCAGGAGCGGGATCCAGGACCAGGACCCAACAGCAGGACCCAGGAGCGGGACCCAGGACCCAGGACCAGGACCCAGGACCAGGATCCAGGACCCAGGACCAGGACCCAGGACCAGGATCCAGGACCCAGGACCAGGATCCAGGACCAGGACCCAGGACCAGGATCCAGGACCAGGATCCAGGAGCGGGACCCAGGACCAGGATCCAGGACCAGGACCCAAGAGCGCGATGGGGCCGAGCCGGGCACTGCCACCGCTGCTGGGGCTGCTGCTGGCGCTGGCGCTGGCCGGAGCCACCACGCCGGAGCCACGCGGATCCATGGCGGGACCGGACGGAGCCACGCTGGGGCGGGAAGGAACCGCAGGAACCGCGGCGGCCTCATCCTCACCGCGGCCCCTGAGCTACGGGGCCGTGGTGGCGGCGGCCGTGGAGCTGCTCAACGCCAGGGCCGTCAGCCCCTACGTCCTGCGGCTCCGCGAGGCTCAGCCCCGGCCCGGCTGGGTGAGCGCTGGGCTCTCCCTTTCCAGGGGAAGCTCCAGGACTGGGCAGTGCTGGATTTGGCCCTTCTCAGGGTGGGTCTGCCCCGTTTTGGGGCTGACCCCCGAGTCGGGGCTGAGCCTGACCCATTCCAGGCTGGATGTGGCCCCTCTTAGGGCTGGTTCCGGCCTGGTATGGGGCTGGGCACTGGGGGGTGGTGGATCCCTGATGGGTCCTGTCCCTTTTCCCAGCCCTCGGACCTGCAGAGCCGGCAGGAGCTGAGCTTCACCCTGGAGGAAACCACATGCCGGACACCGGGAATGGCCACCAGCAACTGCAAGAGCCGCTGGCTCGGGGTGAGGCTTCGTCCCGCGGGAGCTGGGGATTATCCATCCGCTGGGGAAACTGAGGCACGAGGGGGTTGGGCTCTCCCGTGTCCCCTCTGTGCCCCACAGGCGGTGACCTGGTGCCAGGGCTCCGTTTTCCGGGAGGGGCAGCAGCCCACGGTGGAGCTGTCCTGCGAGAAGGCGCCGGCTGCGGTGAGGAGGGGCCGGGATGGCTCCGTGTCCCCCCGGCTGCTGGGGGTCCCCCAGGTCCCCTCCTCACCCCCCAAAGTCTGACCCTGCTCTTTGTTTTCCCAGTTTGGCCGGATCTGGAAATCCAAGATCAAGGATTTCTTTGGCAAGATCAAGCAGCGTTTCCAGGGGTTCCTCCAGTGTGGTCGGATCTGGATCCGGGACAGGCTCAACCTCGAGGCTCCCAAACCCTGAGGGGTGACACTGCTGTGTCCCCACCCTGTGTCCCCTCCCCGTGTCCCCTCCCCAGCTGCTTCACTGCCAATAAACATCCCTGCATCACTCCTGGTGTCACCCTGAGTGTCCCTGCGCCCCAGTGGGGACCCCCGAGCGCTCCCAGCCCCCCCAAATCCCCAGCCACGGAGCTGTGAGAGCTGGGAACACCTTGGGGGTCATGAATGGGGGACGTCACGAGTGGGGGGCTCTCACTGGGGCAGATCTGGGCTCCCTCCACCTCTCCAAGGCTGTGGAGAGGCAGAGACCCCCCTGCGGGTGCTGCCACCTCAGGGACCCCCTGACAGCCCCATCCCAGCTCCAGCTGCTTCCCGGCCCTGCCGTGCCGTGCCCCGCCACTGTCACCAGCAGGGGACACGAGGATGGGGACGGTGCTGGTGACAGAAGGTCCAGGGGGAGCAGGATCGGCTCCCCCAAAATGGGCACAACACGGGCACCACCAGCGTCTCCTCCTGGCACCGGCCTCCTGCAGGGACTTGGAGCCCTGGGATTGTCCTTCCCTGTCCCCAGGACACCCCAGAGTCTGGAGGGTCCCACAGAGGTGTTTGTGGGGTGCAGACCCGCAGGAATATTGGGGGGACAGGAGGGACACCCACAGGAGGCTGCAGCCAGACTCTGCTCCAGCCACTTTTGGGCCCCCCCTGTCCCAAACTGGGTCCATCATGGGGGTCCCCTCGGGACCTGAACCCCCCCAGCCCCTCCCTTGCAGCTCCCTGCAGTGTCCCCTGTGTCCCCCCCATCTCCCTTTGCCATCACTGCTGGTTTGGGGGGGACAAGATGCAGTGGGGACAATGCCACCGCGGGGACAACGGCTCTGTGGGGACAGTGACACCCTGGCGATGACCATGGTCCCTTTTTTAGGGTGCTGGGGGCTCCCCAGAGCAAACCCATATCCCCGTCCCCAGTCCCTCCACATCCCCTTGAGGACGATGTGGGGGATCAGCCCCGTGTGGCAGCCGTGCCTCAGTTTCCCCGTGTGACAGAGCCAGGAGGACGCGGTGCCTGCACGGCCACCCCCGGTGGCCTCTTTATTGCTCAGCCCAGCCCCACGGTGCCCTTCAGGCGGACGTCGAACTTGACCCTGGGCCGGAAGCGCCGGACCTTCCTCAGGAAGCGCCCGAAGCGGCCGCGCTGGACCAGAACCGGCTGCGGGAGGGATGGGGGGGTCAGGGGGTGCGGGGTGTGGGACCCCCACCTTGGGAGCACACCCGGGACCCCACCCAGGGACCCCCGCACCTGGAAACCCACCCAGGACCCCAGTCCAGGATCCCATCCCCAGAACCCAAATCCAGGGACCCCATCCCCAGGACCCCACCCAGGACCCCAATACAGGAACCCCATCCTCAGGATCCCACCCAGGACCCCAATCCAGGGACCCCATCCCCAGGATCCCACCCAGGACCCCAATCCAGGGACCCCACTCCAAGGACCCCATCCCCAGGATCCCACCCAGGACCCCAATACAGGAACCCCATCCCCAGGATCCCACCCAGGACCCCAATACAGGAACCCCATCCTCAGGACCCCACCCAGGACCCAAATCCAGGGACCCCATCCTCACCCAGGACCCCACTCCAGGGACCCCATCCCCAGGACCCCACCCAGGACTCCACCCCAGGATTATTCCCCACCCAGGACCCCAGTGCAGGGACCCCATCCCCAAGACCCCACCCCAGGGGTATTCCCCACCCAGGACCCCAGTGCAGGGACCCCATCCCCAGGACCCCACCCCAGGGGTATTCCCCACCCAGGACCCCACAGCAGGGACACCACTCGTGTCCCCACACCAGGGACCCCACACCTGGGACATTTGTGACCCCATATCCAGAATCCAACACTTGGGACCCCACCCATGTCTCCACGCCCAGACCCCACCCAGGACACCCCACCCGAGGCCCTGCACCCACACCCACCCCTGGGACTCTGCACCTCAAACCCCCCACCCAGGACCCCCCACCCTCCTCTGGAGCCTCGGGGTGTCCCTTTTGGGGGACCCCCTCCCCTGCCGCCCCCTGCTCGCCCCACGCACGTCGGAGGAAGCGTCGGAGCAGCGCAGGTCGATCTCGGGGGAGTCCTGGCGGAACCGCACCGGCCCCGAGCACTCCTTGATGGCCTGGGGGGACACGCGTGTCACGCGGGGATGGCAGCGGGCCCCGCGCCGCCCTTCCTCCCGCTCCTCCTCCTCCTCCTCCCGCTCACCCCGTTCTCCTTGAAGTCGCACTCGTCGGGGTTGGCGCGGGCGCTGGCGGCGCACTCCGTCTCCATCATGCTGAAGTTGAGTGTCCGCAGCGAGCTCAGCTCCACGCCCTGCGGACACGAGTGGGTGGCGGGGCAGCAGGGGGAGGTGACAGGAGAGGGGTCAGCGATCGGGGTGTCACCAGTGGGGTGGCAGTCGCTGGGCGGTCACAAGGTGGGGATCATGAGGGGTGGCACAAATGAGAGGTCACGAGTGGGGTGACACGGCTCGGCACTGTGCACCCCGAGTGGGGGGACAGGAATAGGGGTGATGGTCACAAATGAGGGGTCACGAGTGGGGNGGTCACGAGTGGGGTGACACGGCTCGGCACTGTGCACCCCGAGTGGGGGGACAGGAATAGGGGTGATGGTCACAAATGAGGGGTCACGAGTGGGGTGACACGGCTCGGCACTGTGCACCCCGAGTGGGGGGACAGGAATAGGGGTGATGGTCACAAGTGAGGGGTCACGAGTGGGGTGACACGGCACTGTGCACCCCGAGTGGGGGGACAAGAATAGGGGTGATGGTCACAAATGAGGGGTCACGAGTGGGGTGACACGGCTCGGCACTGTGCACCCCGAGTGGGGGACAGGAATAGGGGTGATGGTCACAAGTGAGGGGTCACGAGTGGGGTGACACGGCTCGGCACTGTGCACCCCGAGTGGGGGGACAGGAATAGGGGTGATGGTCACAA